AAATTACTTCAGTTTAGAATGTTTTGTTTTTTTTATATTTCAATGTGGCTTACATCCATGCGGAAAAAATTAGTTTCTGCCATTTTGTGAATTTAATGGCGAAAATTCATAATTAAAACAGATTTTTTCTCATTAGATATTATTTACCATGCTTTCTTCATTGAAAAAAATCATCATTGATAGCATTTTTCATGTTTAAAATACTGCTAAAATAAAAGTGTTAAGAGCAAGATAAATAACTGATTAGTTTTGTTCTTTGAGCATAAAATAAATCAGTTTTCATCATTTTGTCTGACTGAACTACCGACTGATGAACAAGCCGCTAGGGCCTCTCTAAAACAAAATGAAATTTAAGATTCTCCATTATACAATTTTTTTTTCACTTTCGTCCGCCATTACAAACGAGAGATATTTCGGTAACAATAAATTTCAATAAATGGGGAAAACAATCCATTGAAAACCAAATCGAAAAGAATGAACGTCCTTAATGGATTTCGCAGTTGCACTAAATCATCCTTATCTCTTCGTATTCCAAGCGCAAGGAGAAAATTGCATTCAAACAACTTTGCCCCCAAGAACTGCTTACATTGTGAAGAAGCGTCCCGCGCAAATGCTTCCTTGAATAATACAATCTAAACCTCTTCAAGTCAAGGGTCAAACGTTATCTATTCTCCTTATCCACATAAACCTTACTTCCTACCAAATCCTCTTTATTTCTTATCTCACAATTCATTCATTACAACAACTTTTAACGGTAACTCTACCTTGGGTCCCTCTCAAGCTCTGTATTGAATGAATGATGGTATAAAATGTAGTTTTGTTTTAAGGTGAAACAAGAAAGAAAGCACACGCAAAATGGATTAGCTAAACTAATTTCTTCATTTATAAACCAAAATACATACACGGACACACAGAGACTTACACACGCATATACAGTGACACACATAAGTATTGGATACATGTTATTTTCTGTTATAACTCTAGTTTATGTTCGCCATTTTGCCTGATATTTGGTAAGTAATATCTCGTAAAGTTGTTTTAGTTGTATGTGGAAGGAAAATTAAAAACTCATGGTTGAATCCATTTTTTTATCAAAGTTCAAAATTACCCAATGAGTTCCATCTACCCAATTTCACTCACAAGGCTTGAGCCAATCTGTAGTATGGTTTTCAAATACTTTCCAAAGCATTCTGAGATCGCCTCCACCAGACAGATAACATCAACATTATATATACACTGCCTTGAGGCTTTTCCCCATTTTGGCAAGACTTGAAAAATTGTTTTCACAGATGCTCCCCATCTAGTGTGACTGACTTTAAGATATTTTGCAAAGAATTAGCAGTCTCTAGATGTGTAAGGCTAGTAGAGACATAATCCCAAAGATTTGTAATTGTAATTGCAACAAAAAGGTATGTCCATAAAATATTGACTCAGTGAAGTAGTCAATAATTATACATCCAATTATACATGACTGCTTTGTTGTCCTAATTATTGTTTGTCACAATAAAATGCATTTTGCACCATCAAATCACCGTGATTTTTGTGTTGATAAAATAGCAGAAAGTGTATTTAACCTTTTGACTACTACGTTCCTGAACAATTTTAACCCTTCTGCCTGAGCTACTGAGTCAAGAATCACAAATAATTGGTAAGTAATGTTCCACGGTAAATATAAAAATAATTACAAGTGTTTAACCACCGTTCAACTGGTGGCTGGGCATTAAGTTATTCTCTACCACCGTTCAACCGGTGGCTGGGTATTACGTCATTTTTCTCTATCACCGGTAAAGCGATGTTCAGGGCTCAAGGGGTTAAGTCAATTTGAATTCTAATTTTTAAGACTACAAAATTTTGAAACGCTCAAGGGTGGTGATAAGATAATGTAGATGGAATGATAGAATTTACGGTCAGTATCGTATTTCTAAAGTGGAAAATCTGGAGAACAAGAATTCTCGACGTGATCCTCATAGACTAAGATAAACGTGGCGGGTATAATACATTAAGTTTTATATTGTATCATTTTCAGGGTAACTCTTTAAAAAGGCTTGTCCGTTCCGGAAGTAGACGATCTTGTCTAGCCGCAGATCCCTTTTCTTTATTATCTGAATTGTCATGTATTCTTGGGAAATATAGTAGAATATTTTCCCGATGCTTTCTCAAAGAATTCACTGTTTTTCTTGTCTTATATTGGTTGCCATCCAAGGCTAGAGGTCACAGTTTACGCTGCTATTTATCAAATAATTGGTGGGGGGGTTAAAAAATGGACTCATACCCTTTCCAAGGAATTTTTCACGAAAGTGATCGCAAAAGACTGTAACGAAATTTGAACTCGTATCACCGACTCCATTCACGCGCCGATGCCCGTATATGCAGATGAAGTGACAATTCAAGACTCTTAATTAGCCAGTCACATGTTTGTTTTTCTATTGCCTTAATTTAAATATCTTTCATTTAATTTATCTGTTGCTGCAGACGGTAACATTTACACGCATACAGGATGCGATGGATGAATTGTCGTCTAAATGACGTCAAAATGAAAATAATACTGACATCTCTAACATCTTTAACAGATATATTTACAAAATTACACAAAAATATCCTTAAATACTAAAGAGTAAACCCATTCAATAAAATCGCCATTGGCTTCAACCACGGCATCCAGACGACTTCGAAATCCCCCGCAACTCTTCTGGGTGGTCTCCTTGTTTAAATTGATGTATGCTTCCATAATCTTTGCCTTCAGTTCAGCTTTGGTGTTACAGGGAGTTTTGTTGGTATCTCGCTCAACTGCACCCCCACACATAATAATCAAGGGGGTTGCAGTCTGGGAAGTTAGGTGGCAAGATGTAAAAGTTGATATGGTTGCAGAAAGTCTTACAGTCATGTCTGTGTTCTCCTGCTAATGTGGCATAGTGCAGAGTCCTGTTGTAATACACAGGGTCTTCCAGCAGCCACCCTCTTGACCCAGGGCAGCACTACCTCCTCAAGGTACGATGTAGGCCACGTATTGAGCCTAACGCCCTCGCCAACAAAAACGGGAGTTCATTTATTATTAGAACGATCAGAGTGAGTTTTTCGAGTTTCCGTACCTTCGTAATCACCATTAGACTCATCCAACTCTTTCCGAATCCTCTGCACTCTCGTCAGATTGATACACAAACACTCTGAAATGTTTGTATTGGAGCAGTACAGCATGCAGTTTCCAAATTTCTGACGGAGTGAATTCCGTCATGGTGTTCTTTTTTTCACAGACGGCGCACCAATTGACCCTACTATATTGTGCAGTCGACAAAATCAAAATCAAACAAAGCGCATGCGCGAAATTAAAAATATAAAATGGCGACAATTTACCCATCGTACCCTGTATATTTTAACATCAATAAAAGTTAATTTATTTTCATTGAAGATTTTACTGTTAGATGATAATCTATTGATTCTAGTGTTAACAATGTTAGGGATTTGATTAATTATTGACTTAAGGTGATTAGAGTTGATATTAATATAGATGGGAGTTTGATTTTCTTTTAAAAAAACATTTATTCCACCTCATCCGTTGACTTAGTAACTTTCAAACTTAGTTATACAATACAAGCAGGGCATTTTTAAAACGTTAAATTTGTTAAAACCATTTCTTAAATATAATTGCTTGTACATATGACTTTTCCTTCATAGCTTTTTATTCATATGTTACTAAATGAAATTGTTCATCAATCAATAGTTAATCTCCTGTGAAAAGGTCTTTCATTCTACAGATGTTCATCCCTAATATCGGTTAATGCCAAAATGAAATAACGAAAACATTAATCTAATCTGGGATTCGATTTCTTATGAGCTAAGATATCACGCCAAAACTTCTTTAGAGTGGGAATTTAATCAGAACTTTTAAAATCCATGACAAAGATGAATGATCATTACCAGCTGAAAAGAAAGCTTCTGAAGCACAAAAATATCATCAGAACTCATTTACACGAGATCTCATCATAACTGGATTTGATTTGTAATCATTTTAACTTCCGAAAATTGAAGACAACTTAATCTAATAACGCTATAAAATTACGTTAAACAAAATAGAGGAAAATATGCTATAGTCTGCTTAAACATTTCATGCCATGAAATAAAACAAGAAAAAGCGGCAGCTTCTGATTGACCAACAAAATCTCGAAATAGATTTATTTTCAAGAGATGTCAACGAAGCAAAAATATTTTGGTAGATCACAAAAATAAAAAAATATACATAAATCTTTAATTCGTCTTCACTTGATCCAACGAGATTTTAATAGAAAAAAAAGTCTTCCTTGATCTGAATACAATCTCGTTCGCAATGAGATCTGTCTCCACAAATATGTTTATCACACTGTCACGTTTATAACGCGAAAACCTTTGGTTTTCTTTCTGGAAAGTTAAAGTGGATAAATACTTGAACGAGAACTGTGTAGTGATTTGGTTTCAAAGCTGAAGACTTGGTTGAAATACAATCCAAAGTGATATATATATATATATATATATATATATATATATATATATATATATATATATATATATATATATATATATATAATTGTTTGTATATGGAAGTCCTTATATATTCACTTAAGTTAAAGTGAAAACAATGATTTAGGTGGGATCAACCTGCGATCTCTCTATTTGCTTTTAAATTATATTTCACTCAAAGAAATATCAATTTTCTAGAGCCATAACCTTTTTGATACTTACTAAGCTTCGTGTATTACAAAGCCAAGTGGAAGAAAATGTGAGTTTGAAAGCTGTGTAGAGCTTGCTTTATCAACAAAGCATGGTCTACATCCAAACCGACGCCAGTTGTGGTGTAGGCGTCCGCTTAGGAAGCCAGGATTCGAATGCTGATTTTCAAGGAAAGCATACACAGATTATTTGTAAGATTGATGTTACAGTCTTCAAACTCATCTTCATCATTTTTTAACACCGATAGACGTCGGCTGAACTGTTCGACCATTAACAATCGTATATATAGCGCGGCTTTGTTATACTCCTGTGTCTGAACACTGTTTTTGGTTGGAGACGTTCCCCTGTGCCGAGCAGTATCTCGAACAGTAGATATGATGGGTGTGGTCAGCTAATCCCTGCATGTTGTTGTGCCGATTGCAGAACATACGGACGATCTGATGACGAAACTTATGACCCATAGCGCAGTAAAGAATAAAGTTCATCGAGTGGTTAAGGTACATCATCAGTTCGGCTATCGTCTTTGTTAGCTGATATTTTGCCGCTGAGTCAAAGTCTCGCGTCGCTTTGTCATTCCAGAAATGAGCGAGAATTAAACTGACCGGAAGTGGAAGTGTCGTCAGCAGAAGTGTAAATGATAGCGTCAGTAACATCAGTGTTAATTTTCGGCTGCTGTCATTGTGGCATCTTCGTACCTGGTCGAAAATAGAAAAGCAGAATTAAATAACAGAATTTGAGTAAAATCAAGAATAGCATATGGTGATCTTATTCCAAAGCTAGCGCACATTCTCAAGTGAAAGAAGCAATCTCCCTACTCCATTGGTTTTGTGCCAGACTAAGTTAAGTTTAATAAGCGATACGAGAAATATATGCTCCGATTCCTAAGACTCTCTTGATAAAGTACAAAGTCAAACAGAAGTAGAAAGATTTGTGTAACGCAAGGGTGCTACCAAAAATAAAATTGTTATTTTCTTATCCTAGTCTGATACAAGCTCGAAATACATCGGTATGTCAATAAGTTTGTAGCCTAAGGCAAAAAATGTTTTTATACAACATATATTTTGATAGAATTGCACAATAGGCATTGCAGCTAAAAATAATCATTTTTGTTTTCATATTACAATATTACATTCCAGGGACATCACGAAAGAAATCACGGAACGAGTCCCAGTCAGCTCGTTGATAACAGAAAGATGTTCTGTTGGTAGCAGATTCTATGTTGGTGTAGAGTAGATGTTGATAGACACTACAGCATGATCAGAGTTGCCAAGACGGCAGTGCTGCGTGGTAGGAAAAGACTTAGGAATAGAGGTGAAACAGAGATCGAGAAGGGAAGTTTACCTTTATGGTTATTGGGGAAACGGGTGGGAAAGTCAACCACTTGTGTGAGGGATTGAGTAATTGCGATGTTAAGGGTTAGTATTCCAGCAAAATCAGTTATAGAGTTTTTAAGCTACTTGGCATGGTGGGCGTTAAAGTCACCGAACACGAATATATGAGCAAACCGATGAAGAGAGATATCCTTGTCTATATTGTCGGAAATGCTTTCGAGTACAACCACAATCTTGGGAGAATGGAGAGCGATGGAGGAAGAAGAAGTAGCTTACAGCATTGAGGATAGATAGATGGAGACACATCTATGAATTATTTGAGAGAGAGCTCCCTAGCCAACAGAAGATGGATAAAAAGTGGATATTGAAGTCACCACCCAGAGATGACAGTCTATTTCATGATGAATGCAATCGTCAGGTTTGCGTTTAGTATGAAACGGACTATCATATCTGGTTGGTGACTCCAGTGTCTACTTTTTCAGGTGATTGGAATTTCGAACTGAACAATTTATTTCGTCTACTGGGGATTGTTCTAGTTCCACGTGTCATGTGACTTCCGGATGTCCTGAATATGGTAACAGAGATGAGGACAACAGTTCGGACAATGTAAATAGGACAAATAATTAGAATAACCCATCTCAGAAATATAAAGACAAGATTGAAAAAAATTAAACAAGAATGAAAACAATTCATTTATTTTAGTAACTTTGAAACTTTTTCCTGTTTTGTAATACGTTGAATGCATTTAGCATTGGTTTTTATTAAATTTTAGAAGTCTACTCTTTCTTTTTTTGAATAACCCTGTATACACGCACACACACGCATATATATATATATATATATATATATATATATATATATATATATATATATATATATATATATATATATATAAGATTGATAGCTTTTTTGCTCTGTCTAGGTTATCTAAACATTAATCATTTTAATTTACTGAGTAGGTAGGTGTTTGCCATTAGGTCTTTTTTCGTTTCTCTTATTGTTGTACTTGTTCAAGATTTTTACCTTGTTTAAGTGTATTTAGGTCTTTTGGAAAATTGCTTCCACAAACGCTTTTAGTTTTCTTTAATTATTTTACACACACACCCACACATCCACCCACACAGACACGCGCGTAAAATATTTAAAAATATCATAAATTAACTGATTTAAAAATTATTATAAATTAACTGATTTAAAAATTATTATAAATTAACTGATTTAAAAATATTATAAATTAACTGATTTAAAAATTATTATAAATTAACTGATTTAAAAATATGGTTCCATCGCTACACAGGAACCATATTTTTAAATCAGATAATTATAATATTATAATCTGTAAATTTACATTGAGCACTGTTTTGTAAAAATAAAAATATCAATATGAACACCGGATTATATATCTTACTGTTCTTTCTTTTTACTAATATATATATATATATATATATATATATATATCTTGAGTACTTAATGTACGGTAATATGAAAAGAAAATTGAAAAAAAATTATTTCTGGTCCCAGTGCCTATTACACAACATTTCTGTACGTTTTATCATAATATTCTTCCTTGTCATGGCACTTAACATTTCTCTGTTAATCACACAGATCGAACACTATAAAATGAAAGTTTCAGATCAAAACTTATAAATGTGTCACGTTAAAATCTTTTTGTAGATCGAACTTGGTGGCACAAAATTAAATTAATTAATACTACAATACATAAAATTGCCATGTTTCCCAAATAGAATATCTAAAAAATGTTTAAAATAGCTTCAAACGAATAAATCATAAAAAGGTAATATTTAATCTAACTCTACAAACTCATGCGAAACCCGTAAAAAAAACCGCATCACTTGAACACTTCCAGCAACAACAAAAAAGGATAAGACTATAACTATAGAATGGAAATAATGATATAATTAATCTGTTAGCTTTACACACTACCAAAAGCAAAACGTTTGGAAGGAAACTCAGATCAATACCAGACAGGACCATATCAGTTGACTTGAGAAGTCTAAATTCCTGAAAAGCTGTTAAAATAGATTCAATATACTTCAACCGACAGTAACAATAACTGTTCGATTAATGAATGTCACTTGTTTTCTGGAGTGAAACAGTAACTTTCCCTATTACCATTAGCTTCTGCACAAATTAACCCTTGTATTCCACATATATTCTGGTAGGATTGCGTTCCGGCTATAGGAGAGAGCCATTTATTACTCATAAATATCTAGCTTTGGTAGTTTTAATGTAAACTAAATGACATACAATCTCTATCCAGTGGCAACAACTAAAATGGATAGTAAATCGAAGTGAAAGTATTGACTTAATCAAAATGTTTACTTTCCGCCTTACCTTAAACAAAAAGGTACGAAGGAAAACCTATCAATACTATAAAGATTGATAACAGTTAGTGGAAGCCAGAAACATATTTTCCTGAAAATCTTCTTTAAGAGAAAGATTTTATAAAATTTCAATCGACAATAATGCCTACCGTTCGGTCAATGAATATTTAATTATAAGGGAACAGCTAATCCTGTGTGTGTGCGTGTACGAGGGGCAAAGAGAGGGGTGGAATATGATTTATAAACTCTCTATATTAGTATAATGATTAATGGACAAAAAAAACTGTAACCCGTTTCTTCCATGAAAGAAATCTGAATAAGTCCTTTCGAAGGACGAAACGCGTAGCATAAAACTTTTTTTTTCCATTTTGTCAGTCAGTTGTATTCGGAGAACCGAGTTCGAATTCCAGCCGGTATCGTTACATTCACTGACGCGCAAATACACCTGTGGATGCCATTAATCTATCACCTTGACTTAGCTACTGGTTAGATAGTAGGTATCTGGAAAGTCGACTGTTATTCTCAAAAATTGTTAATGTAATATTAACTCAATTCAATAATTCTTACAATCAATCCTAAATATGTTTCGATTTTAAACAAGCCACAAAGGGTCGATAAGTCGTTAAAAACAAGCAAAAATGAAGCAGTCGACAATTGGGATTCAATAACCCACCACTAGATTAAGATATTATGAATACGAATAACGACAAAAAGAAAACTTTTCTTTACCGAACTAAAAATATCCTTAGGTTTTCAATTTTTAAAAATTTAAGAACGCTCTGTGAAAGTTAAAGTAAATTATGGAGGTTGTTAAGCGATATAATCTAATGCCTTCTAAACGAAAGTGAGTAAATGATGTTATTGCTCTCACTGAATATATATATATGTACATCCCCCCCCACATATATATATTATATTTTTTACATTCGGACAAAAACAATTTGCTCACTACAAAGTGTGCATTCTTGTTTCGATGCGATTGCATCTCGACTGGTGAGAACAAAAATATTTGCTTCTCACGAGTTGCGATGCAGCTGCATTGAAACAAGAATGCATCTTTGTAGTGAGCAAGTTGCTTCTGTCTGTATGTAAAAATTATGATAAATAATTATTGCTCTAATCTTGGTATTAATCCCACTCTTGAATTAATGCTGTGAACGTCAGAATTCATATTATTTTCGTTCTCATTACATTATAAAACTAATGATGTATAATTACTCATGTATGCACAAATGACATGGGTCATTTAATGACCTACATATTCTAGCTTTTCTTATTAATTTCCATTTCACAGTAGGTGTTTTATTGGGTTTTTTTAAGTGCCAGAAATATTTCGATAGGGACGTTTGATTTCGGTATTTATTTATCCTAAAAGAACTTTGATGTTGGTTAAAACGTTTTTTGTTTTTTTTAATTCATGTCTTGTGCATCCAATACATTGGATATGATATTAGGTTTATAAAAAACAAAAATTTACTTAATCAAAGAAATGAAATAGCTATTCTTTGCCAACATTGTCAAAGACTTTTCTTTAAATAATGTTAAAAAAAATGCTGATAAATATAATATACATATTTATATTTGATATTTAATAATAATTTTTAAATAATTGAAGTAATTCTATTACATTTATTTGCTTTAAAAGAAGTAGAGTCTATTATTAATTAGAATTAGGAATAATAATTTAAAATTGTAATTCAATACGAGGTACTCACTACAAACGACCCTTTTAGAAAAAAATCTTTATGTATACAATTACAAATTTACCAGCATAACAAAAGTGCCGAAAAACTTTTTGTCGTTGATAAAGACCAGATGACATACGATGAACGGATGCCATGATTCGTTGAACAAGAACCGGTACCCTACCTTAACTTCTTTTCGAAAGTATGCCATATTTTGATACAATAGTTGTCAGTGAAAATGAATATTCTACCACCCCTTTTAAATATGAATGAATTTCCCGTATACTTAGAAACTAACATTATGACTGTTTGTGCTTATAAAACTCAGTAAATT